AAGAAGTTATGTTCCTTTTCTATTGATCTAAAATATTTTTAATATAGGTAATAGGAGATAAAAGGAAATTATAGTAAAAAGAAATGTATAATGATAAATGTATTTTATGGAGAAGCTACAAAGGAGGGATTGAAAGCTACTTTGTATTATTGTTTAATGTTTGCTAATATGAAATGGATTTGGGCTGCATTTGACAAATTTTGTTCGGTATGATTAAAGGATTTGAAATTTTGGGGGTTTTTGTCTGAAGAAGGGTACCAAATAAGTTCTTCGTGAGAAAAAGAGAAAGTTAGGCACTTGGCAAAGGTTCGGCATATTGTCTACTCAATTACAGGCTTCTTTTTTTTTGCTTTAACAAGGCTAAATATAAGGGAAAAGGGAAAATGGAACAGCCCAATGAGTTATAGAACATCAATAACCTATGAGTTAAACGTAGATAATTAAGTAATTGATAAATTTTAAATTTTAAATTAATTTTATTTAAATATTAAGATTTAAAATGAATTATTAAATTCGAGGATTAATTCCACAATTGCAGGTTTTTGCTTTGGAAAGAAGTGTTACTTTTTCTTTGGGGCTGGAATCTTGGCGAGGCCTATGGATCCGTTTGGGCACTCAGAAACTAATAATATTACCTGGGAAAGGGTAATCTTAATCCCCGTATTTTTTTTTTTATTGAAATATGTCCACTTATTTTTTGATTTTATTGAAATTTATAAGTACACAGAGAAGACAAGACACTAATCTCACTGTTTGGGCAGCTTCACAATCCAACACTGTTGAAGTTTTCAGCTGCTTCTACACCTGAAAATCCCGAGGATGTTTTCCCGGGGAAAACACTCCGACGCTCAAGTCAGCAATACTCGATATTCTAGAGAGAGATGCTCTCAAGGAGTAATTGCAGAGAGAGAAGCGTGGAGATTAATTACCTTCATCGGAGGTAGTTGGGGGGTATTTATAGCCCCTTGGTGCTGACATACATCTGCATGTGTGAGCACCCCATTGGCCCACGTGGCGCTGGTCACGTGGGTATGCTTGTACTGATGCTCCTTCAGCTTGGGCTAATAGGTGGTAACCTAGGCCCGTTATGCATAGCCCAGCCCTGTTTGGGTGTTGAGCTGGGCCTATTCCAACATTACTCCCCCCCCAGTGTTCGATTGACGAACTGGGATGGATGTAGCCACGGGCCAACGTTGTTGGGCCTATGCCCAGCCCTGTTTGGGTGTTGGGCTGGGCCCATTCCAAACGGGTTTAACAGCTTGCGGCCGACCTCGACGAGGGCCGAGCTGAAAGGTAAAACGAAAAGAGGCGAGCTCGCGAGCCTGAAAACATGTGGGCGAGCTGGTATTCATAGCCACATTAGTGTGGGCTTGTTATGGCGGCGAGCTGAAGTGATTCGCAACAGACGAGCTTGCTCAAGGACTAGCCATGCATGTAACGCCCGATCAGCTCGTCCATGTGACGACCTGACCTTTGAGTACTACCGAAGTGCGACCAGGTGACGCTCAGTTAGCTATGATCACGAGGTGAGGCGACGCGACCTCACATTCAGTGCGACTTGAGTTTTTTGACCACCACGTTATCAGCCCGCACGAGTGGTGCTGTCAAATAAGGCGACCTGGGGCACCCATTGATTTATGCAAAGGTTTGTGGCCTGTGTGAGCTGCAATCCGCGTAACGACCTGACAAATGTGGTTGTCCTCGACGAGCTGAATCTTGGGGGATTTTAGCAAAAGATCTACACTTTTGAACGAATTGTCACGGTTGAGCCGATCTGGCAAAGTGTCATGTTTGTAACGACCTGGTAAGTGTGCTCGCAATGGCGAGCTGATGTGACAGTATAGGGTACACATAAGCAGTGACGATTTGAATCTTGGGATTTTTTGAATCAAGCAAATCTCTGAGGAGATACGATTGATCTTCCCGTATCCCTCTGTCTTCCCCGTCATAAATGCTGGCTCAGCATTTGAGGGACGTGACAGCTAAAGCCGGCGCACGTTATGCAGAAGGGACATTAAGCGTGTGCCACGTGTATGACGCGAATTGGCGCGTCAGAAACACGCGTACAACCATTAAGACTGCCATATTTCCCTTTGTGTAACCGTTTCTTTTTCCATTTTCACTTTTGCATTTGCTTGAAACCTTCTGAAACTCTCTGAAGCGAGGCAACTCCGATCTTGAAGAACAGCACACCGAACCAGTTTCACTTTATTTTCAGGTAAAATGGTTTCGTTGAGAGAAATATCAGAGCTACGAGGTAACCAGGGCAGAGATGGAGAAGAGGAAGGGGTTTTATCAGTGGAGCCTATCACGATGATAGTGCCGCCTGAGTTGCAGGACTCACCAGAGACAATGGCGCCTGCGGGAAACGCCAGTTCGAACGCTAGGGATGACGGCAGCGACCATCCCACTGCATCGTCTAGCAGTCCGTCCACCGAAGAGACGCCCAGCCGCGAAGAAGGGATGGGGGATGTGGTGAGCAGTGTCTCAGATCGGCTGGTGATTGGGGAATGGGAAGGCGTGACAATCCTGGGCAGGTTGAGTAACCTACGAAAAGCACCGAAAGACCTGCCCGCCGGATTCAGGTTCAAGGCTGCACTTCATCACGAAGTAGCAGATTGTGCGCCCTCCATAAGTGGGTATAAAAGGCTCGAGAAGATGGTGAGGGCGTACCACATCCCCAAAACCATACTGCTGCGGACTGGCGGGCAGAACGAAAGGGCGTGCACAGTGTCGCAAACAGGCTGGATACCAGTGTACGTGGACCACTTTGACGTCGGCCTGCGGTTTCCCCTGCCCGGATTGGTGTTCGACCTGCTGGCGGAATACGAGCTGGCGCTGACGTAGTTGACGCCCAACAGCATAAGGTTCATTATTGGCTTTATGCTGTTGTGTGAGCGATTGGAGGTGCCGGCCAAGGCGATCGTGTTCAGGTCGCTGTTATAGTGCCGGCTGTGTCCTAACTCCCAAGGCGCGAAGTGGTACTACCTCTCCGGGAGAGACAAAAGCCAACTGTTCAAGAATGTGCGGAACAAAGTAGCGAGGTGGAAGAGGCAATTCGTATTTGTTCGCGACACGCGAACAGAGAGGATAAGCAACGACCTCGCTGCCCGGCTATCAGAATGGCGCACGCCAAACGCCCATATCAATTACCCCCAGCTGCTGCCCCGGGATGTCGATCTGAAGAACCAGCTGCTTGAGTATGCGCAGAGGGAGGGTCTTATAGATCTAGAAGCCCTGGTTACCTCGGAGCAGCTCGCCGTGTTCGGGTTTGTCGATGTGACAAACCTGTTCACAGAAGGTATACTTTTATTAAATAGTACTAATTCCAGCCGGGCTGAGTCTTATGCGTTTTTTTGTGCAGGAGAAATGAGTAGCATCCTGGAACGCCAGCGTCAGCGAGCCCAGAGTTCGCGAGGCCGTGGGGCGAGCAGCACCTCGCAGAGGCAAACGCGGTTCGACGAGCGGCCGCCTGCAGCGCCTCAACCACGCAGCTTGTCACATCGAGGGTCCAGCTCGGCATCTAGGCCGCGGGCCAAGCATAGGGTTGAGGCGGCAGCTCCCAGTGCCCGCAGGCGCGCACGCGAGGAGACAGAAAGTGAGGAAGATGAGCTGCCCCTAGCTCGGCGCAGAACAAGCGGGGGGGCTCAGCCCGCACAGGTGTCCCGTCCTACAACCGTGCGTTCACCGAACGCGCCGTCAGCGACTGTGCGGGCAGCGGCAGAGCCTGCCTCTGCATCAGCTTCGATGGCGGGCCCTAGGATTGCTTATCCTGAGGGCTTTAGCTACGTGCGGGCAGAGTGCCAGCCCGCCATGGTGCAAGGCATGCACAGCTTTGTGCCGCCCATGGATAGTAAGCGGGCAAAAGCCTTTGTGCAGCAGCATGGCGGGCAGGTCGCCATGATAAAGCTAATGGATGTAAGTACCTGCTCGTACCTGCTTGAATGTTATGGTTTTCCTTTGTAGAGATTAACGGTAACCACTGTTTGGCAGGCGTTCAGCTACGCAGTAGCGCTGTACGAGAGCGAGCAGGGGGCTCGTATAGAGAACCGCGAGCTCGGTTCCAAGTGCAAACAGCTGGCCACGGAGAAGGCTAGCCTTGTAGACGATGTGAATCGTCTGCAAGGTTCTGAAATGGCGAACCGAGCTGCGGCTGCAGAGAGCCGAGCGGACGAGCTCGCCAATAGGATCAATGAGCTCAAGGGGGAGCTAGAGCGAGCCCGTGCCGAGAGAGAAAGCGGGATTCAAGCGGCAAAGGACGAGGCCGCTTGGATTGAAGAGCGGGCTAAGAGAGCTGAGGACGAGAGGGACCGTGCTCAGACCGAGCTGGATTCGCTGAGGTTCCAGGTCGCTGAGGCTGACAGAACCTCAGCGCCACTGAAGAGACGCTGAACGAATTGAAGGCATCTCATGCGCGCTCTGTTGGTATTGCCCGAGCCCAAGGAGCAGAGTGGCTGGTCGGCTCGTCCACGTTCCAGGATGCCGTGGCGGTGGCGTCTGCAAACGTAACCACGGAGATCTACAACGAGATTCGTGGGAAGGTGCTGCACCACCGCCCAGATTTTCCAATCCGTGAGCTGGTGTTCTTTGACGAGGAGGAGCTTGACGAACAGGGTAAGAGCCTTGCTCCCCTTGCTGACACGACGGTGAGGCTGAGGTGGGATTTAAACGAGGAGGGCGTGCCCGTCTGGCCACCGTCTGTGCTGGAAGACGGGGAGGATCCAGCAGGGCTGCCCTCCTTTGACGCATGGGTAGAGGGTGCTCCTGTAGCTGAGTAGGAGCCCTCAAGCACTCTACCCAACTCTCAGCCCGCCACAGTACCGGCGAGTTCTCCTGTCAATGCGCCAGCTCCCGAGCCTGCTGCTCGCTCGCCTCTAGCTCGCTCCACTCCGCCTGCAGCTGACGCGTCCATGCCCGTCGATTTGACGGATGACTAGTCTTAGGAGTTTTTGTTTCATTCTTTTGTATTTTTGTTTTGGCATTTTTGTATTTGATCAATAGATTCAGATCGTATGTACTTCTAATGTAACATCGTTGATGAAATACAAAAATGAATTTTCTTTTGAATCTTTGTTGCATTTTCTGTATATCTTTACTTACAACTGTTGCATAACACCTTAAGCGAAATAATATTACACACGTTAACTGTAAAACTTTCTAAGATTCTGTACGTTCCAAAGGTAAGGTAACTGACACCCGTGTATATCTGTTAACACGTAAGAACCAGGTCGCTTAACTCGAACCACCATATATGGGCCCTCCCAATTAGGGGCGAGCTTGCCCATGTGTGAATAAGTGCTGGTTAATCTAGCCTTGCGTAGAACCAGATCGCCAACCTGAAATTGACGAGCTCGAACCCGCTTATTATAAAATTTTGCAACACGACTTTGATGCGCCATGTTTCTTATTCTAGACGTCTCCCTGATCTCTTCTACGAAATCTAGGTTCTCTCTCAAAAGTTGCTCATTGTTGAGGTCGTCGTGCCAGCCTGCTCGGTCAGATGGCAATCCGACCTCTACTGGGATGACGGCTTCAGCTCCATAGGCCAGGCTGAAAGGGGTTTCGCCCATGGCCGAGCTGGGTATGGTGCGACAAGACCAAAGCACTTTATTGAGCTCGTCAACCCAATTAGAATGCGCCGCTAAAACACGTGTCTTGAGGCCTCGCAAGACGATTTTATTGGCAGACTCGGCTTGTCCGTTGGACTGTGGAGTATACACGGACGTCAAGGAGAGCTCAATGCCATAGTCGTTGCAAAATGATCTCAGTGCGGCTGCTCGGAACTGTGGCCCATTGTCGGCGATAATTCTTTTAGGTATGCCGAACCTGCACACAGATGAGCAAGCTGAGCTACAAATCACGGCTGTATATATATTTTATTTATGACTTCAATCACCAAAGAATACCTGCACAATATTGAATTGAACAAGAATTCTTCTATTTTCCTTTCTGTTGTCGTGGACAGTGGTTTAGCTTCTATCCACTTAGTGAAGTAATCCACTGCAACGACCAGGAAAGTGCAGCCTCCTTTGCCTTTGATGAAAGGGCCGAGCAGGTCGACGCCCCATTGAGCAAAGGGCCAGGGAGACGTGAGAGATGATAGCATTTCGCCTGTTTCAAGGAAGATATTTATGCTCAGCTTAGAGACAAGTAGGAAGTTTGTATGGTCTTTAGAATAGGCTCAGATACCTGGCATGTGTATATCATCAGCATTGAACTGGCAGGTCGGACATTTTTTTACATAGTTCTGCGCGTCCTCGACCATAGTGGGCCAGTAAAAACCATGCCTCAGGAGTTTCCGAGCTAAAGTTTTGCCACCTATGTGCGTGCCGCATACTCCTTCGTGAACTTCTCTCACCACGTATTCAGCTTCATAAGGAGTAAGGCAGCGTAATAGGGGCATTAAAGCTGCTCGCTTGTAGAGCTGGTTATCTAACAAAGTGAAATGTGCCGCCCTGCGTTTAATCACTTTTGCCACGGACTGGTCTTCAGGTAGCTCACCACTTTGTAGATAATTTATGAGCGGGGTGGTCCAGCTCGGTGTAGAGGGATCTGTACTTAACAATTGACACTCGATTGTTAAATTAGTGTAGCTCGGTGCGTCGAGTACCTCGACAATTGTTGATCTCTGAGGGTTAATCTCCTGCGATGAGGCTAACTTCGACAGTTCGTCAGCTCGGTGGTTGTCAGCTCTTGGTATTTTGTCGATCTGAAATGAAGCAAATCTTGACTTCAATCTGTTGACCACAGAGATATAACGGCCAAGCTGGGGATCCCTAACTTCACAGCTACCATTTACCTGGCCCACCACGAGCTGAGAATCACTGAAAACTTGTATGCTCTGTACCTTCAGCTCGGACGCCAGCTTCAAACCATAAATGAGGGCTTCGTACTCGGCAGCATTGTTAGTGGTTTGGAACTTAAACCGCAGTGCATGCTCAGATTTAAAACCATCTGGGCCTATCAACACAGCTCCAGCACCTGACCTTTCAATGTTAGCAGCTCCATCAACATACAGAACCCAGACTGGGTAATCAGGTGCGTTTTCTCCCTCCGTCGCCGAGATGCATTCTACCAAAAAGTCTGCAATGGCCTGGCCTTTTATGGTTGTGCGCGGCTGAAATTTGAGATCGTACTCACTCAGCTCGATGCTCCATCCAATAAGCCGACCAGAGAGTTCCGGTTTTTGCAGTATCTTCCTCAACGGCAAATCGGTATAGACAACAATCTGGTGTGATTGGAAGTAGGCTCTCAACTTGCGAGCTGTGTAAACCAGGGCAAAAGCAGCCTTCTCTGCTAGTGGATAATTCTGTTTAGCGCCCTGTAAAACTTTGCTCACATAGCAGATAGGCTTCTGATTCTTATTCTCCTCCCTCAGTAGAACCGAACTCACTGCCTCTTCTGTAACCCCCAGATACAAATATAAACATTCTCCATCGACAGGCTTGGACAGCAAGGGTGCGGATGCTAAATACTGTTTGAGCTCGTCAAACGCCTGTTGACACTCATCAGTCCATTGAAAGTTTTTAGGCTCCCGCAGAGCTTTGAAGAATGGAAGGCACCTTTCTGCCGATCTGGCTATAAACCTGTGCAACGCAGCCACCCGACCTGTCAGACGCTGTACATCTTTTACTATCTTGGGGGGTTCCATCTGCTGAACGGCCTGCACCTTCTCTGGATTTACTTCAATTCCTTTCTTGGATACCACGTACCCTAGGAATTTCCCAGATTCCACAGCAAACGTGCACTTCAAGGGATTCAACTTCATTTGTGCTCGGCGCAAGTTTTGAAAAGTTTCATCCAGGTCGCCAATGTGATCCTCAGCTCGCACGCTGGTGACTATCATGTCATCTACATACACTTCTATGTTTCTGCCGATCTGGAGCTTGAAGATGATTTGCATCAGCTTCTGGTATGTTGCTCCAGCATTTTTGAGGCCGAACGGCATCATGACATAGTAGTAAATTGCGTCACCAGCGTAAAAAGCTGTTTTTTCCTGGTCGTCTAGCAACAACTGGACCTGGTGGTAACCCGAGCTTGCGTCAATAAAACTCATCCGTTCATGTCCTGCTGCCCGTTCTACTAACTTCTCTACGTTTGGCAACGGGTGAGGGTCTTTTGGACATGCGTCATTGAGATTGGTGAAATCAACACACATCCTCCATTTGCCGTTTGGCTTTTTGACGAGCACAGGGTTGGAGACCCATTCAGAGTATTCCACTCTTCTGACGAAGCCTGCCTGTAACAGCTTTTGTATCTCCTCGTCAATGGCAGCTTGCTTCTCAGGGCCAAAAAGGCGGCGTTTTTGCACCACCGGCCTTCTGGTGGGGTCTGTGCTGAACTTGTGGACTGTCAATTCTGCCGGGATGCCAGGCATTTCTTCCGTAGTCCACGCAAATACATCCTGATTATTCCTCAAGAATTCCAGAAGTTCTGCCCGCTCTTCCCCTGTGAGTTTAGTGTCGATCTTCACTGTTCTCTTTGGCACATCCGGGTTTAAAGGCACTGTTTCCACTGGCTCTACTGGTTCTGCCTTCTGCTCAACGCTCTCAGGTCGATGCTCAATGTCTGATATACTCATTGTCTATTGACCGAGCTGGGTTGGCTTGTGATTTTCAGAACCTGTAGGAGCAGCAGCGAGCTCAACCTTCTTGAAGGTATCTTGGTAGCATGTTCTTGCCATCTTCTGATTCCCTTTAAGCACTCCTACCCCCTAAGGAGTTGGGAATTTCATGCAGAGATGTGGTTGTGAGATGACAGCCTTCAGCTCGCAAAGGGTAGCTCTTCCCAATATAGCGTTGAAAGCTGACTCCATCTTGACGACCAGGAAGGTAACGGAAGCCATCCTAAACCGTGGCTCCGAGCCCACATAGATGGGTAGGGTAATGATTCCTTCAACCGGGACGGGCTGATTGTCAAACCCATATATAGGCCCTTCATATTTCTGCAGTGAATTTGGATTCAGCTGCATTTTCTGAAAGCAACTCCAATACAGGATATCCGGCGAGCTACCCGTGTCAACAAAGACTTTGTTGACATTATGATCGCCTATATGAACCGTTGCCACAAAAGGATCAGCATGCGGCATCATAACATTGGGCTCTCCTTCTGCTCGCTTATAGTCCGCCGGGCTGAATGTGATGAGAGCATTTTCCCATTCTGCTTCTTCAAACGGGCGTTTCAAAGGTCTGTTTTTGTTAACTGTCATCACCTGGCGTGCATACGTCTTACGACCTCGGGCGCTTTGGCCCCCAGAGTGAACACCACCCGATATCATGTTTATGGTACCAGAAGGTGGGGGTATCCCAGCATAACCTACCCCTTTCCTGTCTTTTTGATTCGGGGCGGTAGTTCTTGGTCCCTGTCCTCTCCTGTTGAATGGACGTCCTCGGTATGCTCTGCCCTGTTCAAAAGGATACTGGTTATCCTGATATGCATCCTGCGTCTCACCGTGCTGGTACCTCTGTCCTTGAGGTCGGTCGTACGCTTGTACAAAATGGGTTTGAGTGGGTTGCTGGGTGTGAGGCTTCTGAACATACCCTTCTAGCTTCCCGTTACGAGCCAAAAACTCTAACTCGTCCTTCAAGTGTTGGCAATCCTCTGTATTGTGACCATATGCACGGTGGTAGTCACAATGCTTGCTCTTGTCTGCCCTCGGGGAATCATGTAGTGGGGGTGGAGGTCTCCTAACCCAGTGCTGAATTTGTGCCAGGATTTGAGACCTAGGTAAGGTCAAAGGAATGTAATTGGCATATTTCGGGAACTCAGCTGGTTTCCCCCATTGCTCACTGACCTTCTGCTTCTTCTTCTCTTCTCTCCTCGGTTGTTGTTCCTGGCCTTTGCTCGGCTTATCATCAGCTCGTCGCTTGGACGACTGAAAGTCCTCTGACAGTATGAAGCTAGCCGACCTGTCATTCACCTCGTTCCACGTCTTAGGTGGGTTTTCAAGCAGGTCGTCTAGGAACCGGTCACGCTTCAACCCATGCAACAGGGCGAACAGGCAAATCGTGTCTGGGACATTATCAATGTCCAAGGTGGCTTTGTTGAACCGCTGCATGTAATCCCTCAAAGACTCCCCTTCCTTCTGGTTAACTTGCATCAGCTCAGTTGCTGTGCCCTTGATCTCCCTTTGGCTCGCAAATTTGTTAGAAAACAGCTTGGCGAGCTGGGAAAATGAATCTATTGAATGTCTGGGGAGTTTGTGATACCATCTCCTGGCTGTTGACTTGAGTGTTGCTGGGAACACTTTGCACATCATGGTATCATTGGCGTTTTGGATTCTCATGATGGCTTGATAGGTGTGCAGATGTTCATCAGGGTCACCCGAGCCATCATATGTCTCCAGGTGGGGAATTCTGAATCCCTCTTGATACGGCTCTGCCGTAATGGATAAGTTTAGTGGCGCACTATCCAAATCCAGAGTCTGTTGATGCGACCTGGGACTTTTCAGCTCGTCAATAGACTTTTGTACGTCCCGCAGCTGTCTTTCAAGGTCTGCGTTCTTTCTCATTAGTTCTTCACTATGTTTGGACGAGCTGGGCTCGATATTCAACTTCCCACTTCCCCTTGGCCTGGTCGGCACTACTATGATGCTGAGAGCGGGGGAATTTCGAGTTGCAACAACCGCAGCCGGTTGTGTATCTCTGTTCAGCAAAGGAATCAAGGGATCATCAGGGATTAAACGGGCAAGGATTTTACCCATTGCCATTTCGAGAACTCTGGTTCTCTCTTCGAGCTCGGTTGTTCGAGCAGGCTCTGTTGACCTTTCAGGTCGTTCACGCTGTGAATTGTACGGTCTGGCAGATCTTTGTCTTGTTCCTGTTGGAACTTGGAACTGTTCAGGCTGGGTTGCATACCCAGTTGGTGTTCTTTCATCATCCGTCTCACTTAGGTGATCCTGTTCGACTCCTCCTACAAAAAGATTTCTTGGCATTGGCCTAAAGTCATTCAAGCCGGGCTCAGATATGTGAGCATCCTCCTGTTCGTCCATTTCATTTCTTGGAGGGCGACCTCCTGTAAAGGTACGGACCATTTTGTCTTTCAGCAGGTTTAGTCACACAACTTCTTGTTCGGGTTCCCACAGACGGCGCCAAATGTTTGGGCAGCTTCACAATCCAACACTGTTGAAGTCTTCAGCTGCTTCTACACCTGAAAATCCCGAGGATGTTTCCCCGGGGAAAACACTCCGACGCTTAAGTCAGCAATACTCGATATTCTAGAGAGAGATGCTCTCAAGGAGTAATTGCAGAGAGAGAAGCGTGGAGATTAATTACCTTTATCAGAGGTAGTTGGGGGGTATTTATAGCCCCTTGGTGCTAACATACATCTGCATGTGTGAGCACCCCATTGGCCCACGTGGCGCTGGTCACGTGGATATGCTTGTACTGATGCTCCTTCAGCTTGGGCTAATAGGTGGTAACCTAGGCCCGTTATACATAACCCAGCCTTGTTTGGGTGTTGGGCTGGGCCTATTCCAACACTCACCAAGGTGCCTAACTTTCTCTTTCTTCCCAGAAAAGGTTTTCTCTGAGGAAGAAATCTTCTGCCAACGATGTCAGCAAACAGCAACTGTATTACTGATGGCAACCATTTCAA